TTTCCGATTGTTCGTCCAAAGTCCGCCTGTCGGAGGACATGCCCGACCCAAAAGCAGCATCCTGCGGGGGCCCGCAGGGCGACCGCCCCTGTATAAAGGCACGGCGGATCCGAACGACGACCGCTGCTGCGCACAGAGTCGGGCTGGCAATTGCCGGCGGGCCCGAAGGGTGACTGCGTGCAGAGAATGCTCAGAGGAGGAAAAGCTACCCATACCTCTACCCTTCGCCCGTTTTCCCCTTGTTGGGCCTCTTTGGAGGCCCTCGTCGCCACCGCTGGATTCGCCTCGAAATCCTGGTCATGAACGCGCCCCCGGAGAGGTCCGGGGAGTAGCGGTATCGGTACCTTGTGGTCTCCCAAGTTCGGCCACCAAATGCGGCCAGCACGCCTGCATCCTGCATTATTGCATTACACCAGATATCAAAACCCCCACCAGTGGATGGTTTGAAATGGGATCGACAACGAGTTCGATCAGGAGATCGACCGGGAGCCCAGCACCCAGGAACCCAGAGCCCACCGGAATCGGACGGGAACCAATGACCAGGAACCCGGGAACCCGGAACCGGGAACCAGGGAACCCCACCGGCCACCAGAATCGGCGGGACTTTTTCACCAAATCTTCCAATGTCCGCTAGGACCCCTTCAGTGCAAGCACTGATTGGGGACAAGTGGCGTCAGTTTCGCATTTCGCAACATCCTAGGGATGACGAGGTCCGCTCTGAGCTGCGCCGCACCAAGCTGCCCCCCCCCCTCAGCAGCCTTCGAGAGTGGCGGCAGCCTCGCAGTTTGCAGCCTCCCCTCCCAGAAATGGCGCGGTCCAGATTGGATCTGCGTGGCACCACACGGTGTTCCCCCCCAGCAGCCTTCGAACACGGAGACAATTTTGCAAGATCCAGCCGACCAGAGATGGCGAGATTCCGCTTTGATCTGCGTAGCACCGTACTAAGCTGCCCCCCCCCAGCAGCCCCAGGGATGGCGAGGTCTAGCTCTGATCTTCATAGCACCGCACTGAGCTGCCTCCCCAGCAGCTTTCGAAAGCGGCGACCGTTTCGCACTTGGCAGCCCCCCCCCAAGAGATGGCGAGGTCCCGCTCCCCCCCCCCGAGCAGCCCTCGAAAGTAGCATCAGTTTTGCAAATCGCAGCCCCCAGGGATTGGCGAGGTCTGCTCTGAATCTGCGGCGACTGCCCGCCATGCTGCCCCCCCTCGAATGTGGCGATGGTTTCGCAGATCGCAGCCCCCCCAGGGACGGCGAGGTACAATCTGAACCTGCGGCGAGGACCCACTATGCTGGTTCCCCAGCAGTCTTCGAACGCGGCGGAAGACTCGCAGATCGCAGCCTTCCAAGGATGGCGAGGTCCAATATGAATCGGCGGCGTGTGCCCCCCTGCCCCCCCCCTCCCCAAGAACCCCCCGAAAGTGGCGACGGTTTCGCATATCGCAGCACACCCAGGGACATCTGGATCTGCGGCGAATGCACGCTGTGCTGCCCCCCCTCAGCCTTCGATTGTGGCGGCAGTTTCGCACAGAGCAGCCCCTCAGGGATGGCGAGGTCTAATCTGAATCTGCCGTGAGCACCCACATTGGCGGCGCCCTCCCAAAAGCAGCCTTCGAAAGTGGTGACAGTTTCGCAGATCGTTGCCTTCCAGGGGTGGCGAGGTCTAATATGAACCTGCGGCCCTCCAACGTGCCGACAGTTTCGCACATCGCACCCTCCCAGGGATGGCGAGGTCTATTCTGAACCTGCGGCGAATACCCACCATGTTGCCCCCCCTCCGTATAATGTGGCTGCGATAGTTTCGCAGATCGCAGCCCTCCCATGGATGGCGAGGTCCAATCTGAACCTGCGGCGAATACTCACAATGCTGGCTCCCACAGCAGTCCCCGGAAGTGGCGACAGTTTCGCAGATCGCAGCCCCTCCAGGGACAACGAGGTCTAATCTGAACCTGCGGCGGATGCCCGCTACGTTGCCCCGCCCCTCCACCCCCCGCAGCAGCCCCCGAACGTGGCGACTGTTTCGCAGATCCCAGCCCCCCAGGGATGGCGAGGTCCCGCATGATCTGCGTATGATGCCATTTCGGTGGACCCCACACCAGCCTTCGAAAGCGGCGACAGCTTGGAGCTCGCAGCCCCCCCCAGCGACGGCGATGAGGCAGGGTAGTAGGCATGCAGGAGGCAGGGCAGCGGGCATGTAGGAGGCAGGGTGGCAACAAGACAGAAGGGAGGCGTGAGAAGGATTGTGCGACCGCTATGCTCTATCCAAAACGAGGCCTTAACGCAGGAGGGTTGGAAATAAAGCGCAAGCAAGGGACAACAAACAACATCCGTTGGGACTCTGGGAAGAACGTGAGGAGGAGGTAAGACTTGAGCACAAGGGGAGAGGGAAGTGGACATGGGGAGTGGTCCTCCCCCTCCCTCCCTTTCTCCAGGATGGCAGTTAGGCCCTGGGGCCCTCTTGGCGTAAGGGGTCTTGGTGCGTCGAGAGCATTCCACCCCCTCCCAATTTCATTCCATAAGAGTACGCCATGGGGCACAGCAGGGAAACAGTGGACGTACAGTCGCAGAAGATCCTCCCACTGTATTCCTTCCTTCTCCAGTCGGAGCACACTAAGCATACAATAAGCATATACGAAGGCTTACTCCACCCGCCCCTCCCTCCTCCACCACCAAGAATGCACGATAAGTACAGTGATAATGCAAGGCAAGTCCCTCCCTCTCCTTATCGTTCCCCCCCTCCCTTCCTCTTCCACTATGATGCAATCGTCCTTCCCCCTCCCTCCCCAAAATAGGGTTGCAACATGAATGCCAGAGGAATTCTTCCCCTCTCCCTTCTTTCTCCTCCTTCTTCTTTGCCTCCCCCAATCAAAACACATCTGTACTATACCATGAATGCGATACTACTGCAATATGACCACACCTCCCTTCCTTCGACCCTTTGGCCCCGTCCAGGCCGAGGGCTGAGGCGGGGCTCGAATAACATGCAAATGCGATGTAGTGCAAAGCAACAGTATGCAGCGCATTTCAATGCGACGTGCTCCCTCTGACCCTTGGCCCCCGTCTAGGCCGAAGGCCTAGACGAAACCTAAGCGCTTTGCAAGTGCGACGTAATGCGCTACAACAGGATGCAATACAATTCAATGCACTGCAACGCAATCCAGTGCAATTCGACTCGATTCAGCGCAATGCAACGCACTGCAACGAACTGCAACGAAATGAAATGCATCGCAGTGTAAGGCAACGCAACGCAATGCAATACAATGTGGAGGAGGGAGGAGGACGAGGGAAACTGGAGGAGTGAGGGTGGGGTGGCGGGGAGAGGGTACTTGGGAAGTGGGAGTGATCCTTCCCTTTTCCCTCCTTACCCCTCCTCCAATAGGAGTACACTGGGAGCACAGTAATACTACACCAAGAATGAAATGCGAAGTCCGTCCCGGTCTCTTCCTCCTCTTCCAACAGGATAACTACAGGACCACGATAAGAACACAATGATCATTTCTCCCTCACTCCGATCCTTAACTTGAGACTTGCAGAATACGGCTGAGGGACCAGGGGGGAGTACCAGCCCAAAGTGGGAACACATACCAGCAAGGAACATGACCACAAAGCATGATTTCCTGTTGCTGGCGACCCGTTGCCCCCATAGCCTATGGGGCCGCCAGCCACGAACAAATTTCAAAAACTGGCAGTCCCAGGCGTTTTTTCTATGTTGCTAGATTGTTTCTCTCGTTTGGCTTGTACCCCCCAGGCCTTCAGCCATCCTGTGCGTCTGCCGCAAAAGGGGCCTTTGTTTGGGCGGATTGGAATAAGAGTCGTGTGGTGGAGGTTTACAAAAGGATTCCTTGGTGGCAGATTAGAGAGGCATGCGCTGTGTTTGATTTTGCGGTTGTTGCTTAGTGATTGTTGCTTGTTTGTTTCTTTGTCTGCTATTTCCTGGGCTCTCGGCCATCTAGTGCGTCTGCCGCAAATGGAATATTCTTGAGGCGGGTTTCAAACAACGTATCCTTATCTAGAGGCTTACAAAACGGTTCCTGTGTGGCGGATCCGAGAGGCAGAGAGAGTGAGGGAGAGAGAGCTCTGTAAACAAGTGACGAAAAGAGAGAGAGAGAGAGAGCAAAACAGAAAGAGAGAGAGAGAGAGAGAATGACAGAAAGAAAAAGGCAACTCCCAAATAGTCCAACATGTTCCCTCCACCGGGGGGGCAGGGGGGCAAAACGCGTTGAGCCACCAGGGGTGGCGAAGCCCTACCACCGCCGCCAACAGGGCAGAAACATTATTAATTCGGCACAACAAGTACGAACCAGAATTACGGACATCAACAAAGCAATAATACAAGGCTCGGGAGCGGACAAGGGCGAAGGTAGGAGAGCACCAGATAATCCGACGAAGCGCACACATGGATGTACAGGCGTGTGGACTGGCGGCGGATTCCGCTCCCTGCTGAAACGCCAACTTCGGCGGCACCAGCCTCGCGTTTCGGAGGTGCCTTCCTCGACTCGTGGATCTGGCGCCAACGCTCCAGATCCACGGACCCGTGATCCATGTTCGCGCGTGCCCGAACAATGACGGAGGGGGCCACCGCCGAGCCTTCACAGATCCAGGTCAGGACCCCGATCAGTTTGGTGGGTGCCAGCTTCCTGGCCACGCCGGGAAGCCTGGCGCCCTGCGAGATGTGGGCCCCAGGATGGGAAGGGCCCCAAAGGGCGGACTCAGCTTATTCGAGGCACCTCGGCCTCAGGGCCCCGTCACTCAGGCCTCCCATCTTGGAACCACGGGATCATGACCCGCCAAGTTCTGAGTTCAGAACAGGCTGCGTTCTGGCTTGAGTCCTCGCAGCCCGGACGTCTCATCTTTCACACCGTGCAGCTGCGCCCCGCCTCGGGCCCAGGGGCCCCCGTGGCACCTGTTGGCTCGGGGAATGCTCAAGCAGGACGGAGTCTAGGGCTCCGGTTGTGGTTATCCCACATGTTTCGAGGCGCCGGATCTCAGGGACTGTTGCCCCGAGGTGTGTGACGGCGTTAACTATGATCCCCCGCACGCCTACTTCGTGTTGGTCTCGCAGTACCCCTTCGTGAAGGCGCGGCTTCTCAGGAAGGAGTCGTCTCCGCACAAGGCGGGCGCCGGTCAGAAAATCGACGGACCACTGCCGTGCATCAGAGGAGAAACATGAACCACCGCCCCCGGGAACCCATCGGTTTGTGATGAGCCCACTTTCCACCGGGGTGGCCACCACTACCACAGGTAGTAGAGGGAGGAGGAGGAGGAGGAGGAGGAGGAGGAGGAGGTGGAGGAGGAGGAGGACCTCCTCATCCTCCCTTCTCCCCCGTCCTACGTGTGGCAGTGGTGGTGGTGGAAAATCGGCCCACCAGTAGGGGGCCGGCCCCAGGGCAAAGGGGCGCGCCTGGAGCCTCACCCAGCACAGGATACGACGCTCCGGCGCGCCACCACGGGTCGGCCACTCCTCGAAGTGCTCTCGGTGGCGGGTGGTCCACAATTCTGCGCTGAGGCCCCAGACCCCCTCGGGCAATGATAGAAAATCACGACGGGAGGTTTTCGGGTGATTTTCGGAGGCCCAGAGGTTGACACTAACACCAAGATCGGAAGTGTGCCTTCACCGAGGGAAAATGATCCTGATCTCGGTGATGGTGGTAAGAGTCGGGCTTCCGAGATGGCCGAAAGATTTCCACTAACACCGAGATCTAGGATCATCTTCCCCCTGTGGAGGCAAACGCCCTGTGTTGGTGTTGGTGCCCATTCCAAAGCCTCCAATATTTTCGGCCTCTGGGGGCCCTTACCGGCCCTCGAGACCGTCAGACACGGTTCAGGATGAACGCAAAACGGTCTTGGGGAATGGGTCGAGACCTCCAGGGGTCGACGCAATGAAAAAAACATGACGTCGGGGGTCTATTGAGTCTACGGGTTGCTCGTGCCGGCGTCTCGCGGGGGCGCGCCAGTGTCTGCCAGCACCTCGCGGGGGCCAGAACGCCCTCGCGCCCCCAGCCCCCGACGCTCCGATCGCCGCCGCTCGCAAGGTGAAGGAGACGCGGCTCGCTTACAACGTCGGCGACGCCGACCTCATGCAGAAGGCGAAGCTCATACAGAGGTGGGTGCGGGAGGGCTTTCAGGTCGGACCTCCCTGGGCGCTCGAAGCAGCGGCCCGACCCCCCGACCAGGGCCTGGACATCTGCCGTTCGTCCGCTGCTGGAGCTGTGCTGCTGCTGCTGCTCCTCCTCCTCCTCCTCCTCCTCCTCCTCCTCCTCCTCCTCCTTCTCCGCCTCCGCCTCCTCCTCCTCCTCCTCCTCCTCCTCCTCCTCCTCCTCCTCCCCCGTAGCCATTTTGGCTCAAGTCCCACTTGGCCCCCGTGCGGGGGCCAAAGGGGGCTAGAGCGCCGTTGCCATCCTGGCTCCAGGTGCTCCGAGGGTGGCAGGGCAGCCCCTGCCTCAGGCCCTCCACTTTCGGTTTTCGGCATCGGAGGGTTCGGAGCCAGCGTTCCGCCCGCAACCACGGTTTCTCCAGCCAGTCTGCTTCTTGGCATCCTCGCCCTCGCCAGTACTGCGCCATCGCTCCCCGCGGCAAGTACCTAGTGCGCCCCCGCGCTAGGTGCCGCGGATGGGAATGGGCGCCCGCCAAGGCCTGCTCGGAGTGCGGCGCGCACCTCCAGGCCGACGGCCCGCGGAGTCGTGCGAGCAGCAGGCAGTCCTCCCATCAGCCCCGCCCCAGTGGACGAGGACGCGGCGCCGCCTGGGGACCTCGAGTCCGTTTCGAGGACGGCGGCAACGAGGAACAGCCCTCGCAGCAGCAGGCGCCAGACAAAGAACCAGGCGTCCCAGCCCAACCAGATCCAGTCGCGCTGGCGCAGGCCCAAGTCACCTTCTGGAAGACATGGGTCGGAGCCAATGGGCGCGAGTACACAGACGCTTTCGAAATACTCAAGAATGCGAAGATGGAAGCCCTCAAGGGCAAGAGTCTGGACCAGCAGACCCAATCGCTCAACGGGAAGATCACTTCGCCCAAGGCCAAGTTTACCGACCTCGAGGAGGACCTCCAGACGACCGCAAACCAGATCGCAGAGCTGGCCAGCCATTACCAGCCCAGGATGAAAGAGATTCAGGATGCCCGAGAAGAACTGCAAACGCTGGAGGCCCAACGGGCCATGGCGGCAACTGCAGCAGCGCAGGAGGCGTCAGCATCGTCTGACATACCAGAGCTGGTCTACGCGGCGCTGCAGGCCAAGATCCCAGCAGGCGGCTCCATGCCCGCGGCCCTCCAGCAGCAGGTGCAGACGCTCGCGGCCACGCTCAGCGAGATGCAGCACCAGCACGAGGCCGCAGTCGCCCAGCAGACCGCCCAGCTCGAGGCGACCCCCGCAGTCAGCTCCGCCGCCTCGGGTGCCCTGCCGAAGGCGCCGTCGTTGCAGGCCCCGCCCACGTTCGCCGCGCCGCCCGCCGCGCCCCAGATGCCGCCAGCCGGCGCCGCAGAGCAGCCCGTGGACGTGGACCAGGGCGAGGAGGACGACGCCGTGGACTTCGCGGGCCTCGGTTGCGGCGACAAGCGCACATCCTCCCAACTTCAGGAGACGTCAACGGCGAAGCCGAGACGGCCAAGAAGGTCAAAGTCGCAGTCGCAGCGGCGGCCGCGGCGAGTACGCCGCGGATATAACACGACCAAGCTCACTACGTTCAATGGCAGTTGTTGGAACACCTTCGAGCAGTTTTTGGAATCGGACTGGTCCAATGACGTGACAGCGATCTGTGCCCAGGAACACAGGCTAACTGATGGGGGCGTCATCAGCCAGAAGATTCAACGGTGCCAACGTCGGGGTTGGTGCGCTCGCATCCGAGCATCCAGTTTCAACGCCAACCACGAGAAGGTCAACGGAGTGGCCATCCTTGCCCGAGACCACTTGGACTTCGGGGTGGAGCCCATGGTTTTTCAGCCCTCGGTGGACTCTAGCCGCCTCACAGGCATCTGCCCAGAAGCGCCAGGAGTGTCCAAGGTGGGCATTATTTCTACATGCTTCAAATCAGCCGAAGGTCTAGGCGAGACTATTCTCGGCCTGCTCTCAGACATTGCAGTTCAGCAGGAGCGCGTTCAGCTCCCCATCGTCGTGGCGGGGGACATCAACATGGCACCCCACAAGATCGAATCCCTACACTACGTCAACAGGGTCCCCATGCGCCTAGTGGCCCCAGAAACCCCGACCTGCAGGAAGCCGAATTCCCAATCCATCCTGGATCATTTCCTGATCAGCGAACCCCTGGCCGAGAAGATTGACAAGGCCCGGACCTGGGCCAAGTACCCCCTCGCGCCCCGCACGCCAGTCTGCCTAGACTTCCGAGGCAAGGGCAGTTTCACGATCCCTGTGCTGGCGAAGCCGCAGAGGCTACCGTCTTCAGCGCCCGTGGGCCCACACCAGTGCCCGAGAGAATGGGCCCAGAGTAAGTCTGTTCTAACTGATGTCGGCGCCCTGCTTACCGATGCCACTTCGCCTCTCAGCGAGCGGCAGCAGCAGTCGATTCTCGATGATTGTTATGTCGCCGTCGTCAATGATCTCGAGAAGTCGATCGGCAGCATCGCCGGCGCGCCGCTGAAACACAGCTCGCAACCGAGAGCCAGCTCCCCAGAGATAAAGTGGGCCCCTGCCAAACGTCGAGAAGCCCAAGTTCGATCAAGCTGGAGGTCTCTGGAAGGCCCGTGTCGATGGCTACGAAGTCGTCTCGTCGACATCTATTTCGTGGTAGGTAATCAGGATTGGTCGCAGGTAACGCTTCAGATAGCGGGGCCCCAGGACCCGCCAGAAGCGTTTCACGCCGCCCACGACCTGAAGGGCAGGTTGCAGGCGGTCACCCAGCGGTGCGAATTACTGCTGGCAGACATCGCAGCTGGAGTCTTATCCGAGGGCGCAGCCGACCAGGCCATCTGCCAGATTCCCCAGGATCTTCTCAAACACATCGACTCCTAGAGGAAGAAATTATTTCCGGAAGCCTCAAAAGCATGGGCCTCATGGGTCCGAAGCTCGCTCCGAGAGGGCGTCGGCTGGGCTCGCAGATGGGCGAGATGTTTAGATGCGTGGAAGCCAGCAACCACCTACTTGCAAGGGGTATGGTCTGGACGACCAAGCAGCATTTTAGGGGGCGAAGCGGGGCCGACACCCCGAGAGAAAGCCCCATACCCCGTGAAATGGATGACCGAGTCGCCCTGGGTCCCATGACGGGAGGGATCAATCTGGAAGCCGCAAAAAGTTTTCCGCTTCGGATCGCTTCGACCTGGGACGGCTTACACCCCAGGCACTTCGCCTTGATCACAGAGCAGCTGGCTGACCTGGTCGCCAAGCAGCTCCTCATTATCGAACGACTTGGTTTCATGCCCGCACAGATACAGGCCATTATCTCTGTTCTCGCCGTGAAGCATAAACATCAAGACCCGCAAGCAACCGAGCCAGCAAAATGATCCATTGGAACGATGTCGGGACTGCATCGAGCATGGGCTAGAGTAAGACAGTCAGCTGCGCGCGAATGCGAACGCCATCGTAGACTGCCTATCCTCGCTCGTCAAGCGGGTCACTCCCTAGTAGAAATTGTGTTCAAGCAGAGCCTAGATAGAGCTGCAGCAAGCGTAACGAGCAAGTTGTATATGGTATGAGTCTCTTCGATCTCAACAACTACTATGGGCACACCAATAGAGACAAGCTGGCTACGCGAGCCCTTCGCAACGGGTTCCCTGCTACCCTGCTCCGTATTATCTTCAGCAGCTACGCTAGCCACAGATATGCCGCCCTCCAGGATCTCGTCGTGTCGGTGGGACATGCTATGCATAGCATAGCAGCGGGGTGCGGGTTTGCAACATATCTCATACAGATGTACACGATAGACCCCCTGGGCTCCTGGACCCAGCGGAACCACAATGTAGATTTGTTCATGTTCATAGATGACCTCCTCATGAAGTGGCACGCGTGCCAGGCCAGTGCAGTCATCGCCAGACTAGTTCGGGGAGCCCGCAGTTTAATCCAGTGCATCCAGCAGGACCTCGACAGCTCAGTCGCCCCCGCCAAGACTCAGATGCTCGCCCCCACTCCAGAGCCGCGCAAGGGAATCAAGAAAAATCTTCGCGAGCAAGCCGGCAATATGCTGAACATCTCAGGCCCGAACCTCGGCTGCGAGACCGCAGCTGGCGCCCCCCCAGTGTAAATGGAGGGAGGACAGGCAGGCTCGCCACGGCAAGGATGAACCAAATCAAAAAACGGATGAGAAGGCTGGGTGGCGATCAGGATAGCAGGAGGAGACACCAGGAATATTTATAACACGGGCATCTTCGCAGCCGCATCTTTTGGACACGAAGTGACAGGCCTCAGTAACTCCCAGCTCGCAACCGGCCAACAACAGTATCTGAAGTTAGCTGGATCCAAATGCGCCACCAGAAGCAGGGCCCTCAGCTTGCTCCTCGCGGGAGACCCTACCTGGAAGTGAGCTCCGGGGCCTGCTCCAGTGTGGCTTTTAATTGTGTGGGCAGCCGCCGCCAATGCAGCCCAAAGTCTTGCTTCCTTGTCGGCCCTCCGTTCCCGCGGCGAGGCCCTCATGGGCCGAGCCCCCGCTCGTTGGGGCAGCGTGCGCGGGCCTTTTCGGAGCCATGCTGCTATCCTTGCATCGCATCGGCTGGGCTTTAGTTTCGCCTTTAGTATTCCAGTCCAAGGAAGGCGCACAGTACCCTTGAACTTGTTTTTCGCCCGCGTTCATTCAGAAACTCATGCAGAAAGCTCGGGCTCGCCAACTGCGCCAGCAAGGGGCCGAGAAACTGGGCCATCCCGACGCCATCCTGGACTACAGCATAGCGGCCAGCGTTTTAAAGAGCCCAGCCCTCGGCAAACAAGAACGCGGGAGCCTCTTAACCTTTTGAACTCAAGGGTGCTGGACCAAGGCCATAGCCAAAGACGCGGATTACCCCATATTGCACCTGCGAGTGTGGCCCCTCGTCGGGTTGCCTCCGCCATCGTTTGTTCGAGTGCCCGATGTCCCAACCCGAGAGAGACCGTGCGTTTTCGACCGATGAGCTCGAGCTCATCCTGCATCACGACAGAGACCCGCTAATTAAGTTCGGATACCAGCAGGAGCCGGATTTCTGTATCGGAGCCCTTCCAGGCACAGGATTGGGCAACTGCCAGTTCTGGTTCCAGGACGCCAATGTCTCCCTGGAAGAGGCCTTTGCTTGGAACGTATACGTTGACGGCAGTTGCGACCCTTCTCTGCGCCCTGCCCACCAGACGGCGGGCTGGTCAGTTGTTTCTCTGAAGAGAGGAGAACCCTTCGCGATTTTGTCTGGTCAAGTGGGCTCGGCATTTTCCGCGAGGGTATTGCGTTGCAGAGATGCTAGCCACTGGTGCTGCTTGCTCCATCTCTCCGCTCATCGAACAAGTCCACGCGGACTACGCTGGAGCTTTGCAGTTATATAAGAATCCATGATACCCGGGAAGGAACACCCACGCAGGGTTCAAAGACTTGATGGGCCGTGCCGTCGTGTCGCCTGAGAGGTGTCTCGTCAAAGTGAAAGCCCATCAGGACCTCTCGCAATACTTCAACGATAACGACGCATATAGCCATGCCAACGGTAACGACGCTGCGGACAAAGCAGCCAAGCGAGCTGCCACCTCATATTTCAACAGGCCTTCGGAGGCCGAAAAAGAGCTAGGCAAATCCGATCGGAGTGCTGCGCCGATGCCTGTTCTACGTGGCCCAGGCCCTTCCCAAGTGGCCCGCTTTGGCCCCTCGCCCTGGGAAGAAAGCCCTTGCCAAGCCCGTCTCCAGCAACCCACCGATGGGATCAGCCTCCGCTGCTTACGCCTGGGATCCTGGGGCTGTCCCCCCCCCCTCCGCGGCCTCCCCCCTCTTCCGCTTCCCAGGGGAATTCTGGCGTAGCCCATCAGTGGGGGTATCTTTACGGAAAGCACGCGTGCGCCCCTGCCGCACCAGCGCCAAGAATCTGCACCAATACATCCGTGGGATCAATGAGCTATGTCCAGGATTGTTTGCCGGCCTGGCTTCGCTAGCGCAAAACCCTCGAGGACACCGCCTGTTGCTTTTCGAGTACGAGCTCCATGAGAGCACGCTTATGTTGTGCTTCGCGTGTGGATCTTACTCGGAAGCGGGAACCAGGGGCCGACTTTTCAGCCAATGCCCCTGCGAACCCGAGTCCAGTAAT